GCAGAGGGGTTTTATAGTAAAACTCAATTTCCAAACTGTGTGGGGGCCGTAGACGGGAAACACATTCGACTAGAATGCCCCCCTAAAAGTGGTACCTTATATTACAACTATAAGCATTTCTTCTCCATAATACTCATGGCAATCTGTGATGCAAACTATTGCTTCACGATTATAGATGTGGGGTCGTATGGCAAGGAGAGTGATTGCAACATTTTTAAGAAATCGTCATTTGGAAAAAAATTATACGACGATAAAGTCAATTTTCCCCAACCTCAGTGTTTACCAGAAGATGATGGTGGTATTCCTCAACTTTACGTAATAGTTGGTGACGAAGCGTTTGCTCTTCATAGAAACCTTTTACGCCCTTTCCCCGGAAGAAGCCTAAACAATGAACGGCGTATATTTAATTATCGTTTGTCAAGGGCAAGACAGAATATAGAGTGTACGTTTGGTATTTTGTCTAACAAATGGAGGGTTTTCCATACGGCCTTATTAGTGGAACCAGACTTTGGAGTTGCTATTACCAAAGCGTGTTGTGTTTTGCACAATTTCGTTCGACGCAGAGATGGATATTGCCCTGAAGATACACAGACTTGTGATATGGAGGATGCAAATGAAAAAGTAGGGGTTGGGAACTCTACATCTGTTGCAAAAGACGTAAGAGACTATTTTGTCAACTATTTCAATCAACCGATTCATGCATTAATTTGGCAAAACAAGGTGATAGGTAATTAGCGTGCGGGAAATGGGAATGCATAAGTAACTAAAATATTATATATTATATTAAATATTGTATGCCAAAAATATCCTTATATATTTTTATTGATTAATAACTAATAATTTTATACTTTTAATTTATTCTTTATATAATATTTTACGATTTTACGATTTTAGTGAAGTAACTAAATTTTTTAAGCATTATTATTTATACATGAAATTATAAATATGTACTATGAATATAATATTATGTTTAATTTATTAAGCCTTTTTTATTTTGAAGTATTTATCCGTCACCACCTTTTAGGACAGTAAAAATGCTTAGATTCAGAGACTAAAATTGTGTGTAGTCGTTTTCAAAAGCGCAGTGAAAACAAATGAAAAAAGGTAGGTAAGTGGGTGTCGCTCTGCTGTACAGTAGATTATAAGTCACTGTAATGGATTATGTTAAATTTGAATCCAATGATATAATATAATTGTATAAGAAAACGATTCTGACCGAAGATTTGATGATATTATTGTGAATAAAGTTATTATAATATATTATAACCTATTTACGTGGAACCTTGTTTTAAATTTTCAATCCTTAGCTGTAAATACATAAAAATTTCACTGAATGTTTATATTCTCATTTTCTTTACACCATTCAATTTTGAAAATATTTTGATTCGTTTTAAGCTTTTCAGTTTTTACGGACAAATTAAAATATCAATTTTTTAATTTTTTTTTCTTCGCTCATTTTATCATTGGATTCAAATCTTACACAATCCATTACAGTTACAGTTACTCTCTTGTAATCTACTGTACAGCGTAGAGAGAAATCCACTTGGCCACCTTTTTATTATTTATACTTTCATATTTTAATACATAAATGTAGTTAAAAAATAAAAATGCTCACTTTTACTCATTTTGACGGTTTCTTCATAATCTTCAAAGTCTTTGAACAATTTTTTTGCCACCTTTGTCCAACTTATATGCTTGGCATTTTTGTCATGATATAGTTTGCTTTCTGTACATTTTTAATTTAATAATAATTATAATATGGTATTGTGTAATAACTTAGTATATAAATTATTACTTACCTATATTCCATATTGCCTCTTCATTCGACACCTCAACAATAAATTCTTCTGTGTCAAACATTTTTTAGATTTTTGTAATAATTTGTGCGGCGATTACTATAAACTATCACAGGTTGAAGGCACAAATTATGAATGAACGTGAATAAACGCGGGTCGATCGCGGCGTCCGAATCGCCCGTGTGTTATCAAAAATAGAAATGCATTGAAAATGCATTGGAAAAATATTGTTTAATTTTAGCTGAAGATCGCGATCGAACGCTCAAAATTAAACATGTACGTTTCGGCGCGTTCGAACGCGACCGAACGCGACCGAACGCGCGTCTCATTTACGTGTGTGAATAAGCCCATATAAAAGTATATGTTTAATTTTGGGCGATTAATCGCGACGTTCGAAACGCGCAGAGACGCGCGTTCGAATCGCCTAGTGTGTAATCCACTTAATCCTCGAGCCACTTTGAGAAAAAATAATTTTTAATTATATTGTACCTCGCAAGGTGAAAAAGAAGGTCAAAAGATAAAAGTATAAAGTGTTAAAGTGAAAATTACTAATTAGAGTATTTTAACGTGCTATATAAATGTGCAAGTTGAAAACTCATGAGAGATGTGAACGAACAAGTTTTGATTTTTTCTCATTGGTCTAACACCGAGTATTATCGTATCCTATTAAAGAAGTATCTATAGGTTTTTGTTTCAAGCAATTTCCGGTTACTTTACAAAGGGAACCGTTTAAGACTTAATTAGAGCAGGAACACATTTGCTAAAATTTATAAAAATTATATTTTATAATTAGCTATTAGAATATTGTATTAATGATTTTAATAATCTAGAAATTATAAATATTTATACTAAATAGTTGATAGATATTTCGTCATTTCGATTTTCTAAAGTATATTTGATATATGAATATATTTTAAAATATAATTATACATAAATTCAATTTTGCAATATAATAGAATAAATTAATAACAAACAATAAGTTGATCCGAATAAAACTATAAACTGCACACCATAACTGTTATATATTATAGTACCCTAGGTACCTGTAAACTATCAATGATTGAAACATTTAGTATTATACTTTAACTGTATATTTATACAATTGAATGACAACTTATAGGGACTATTATTTAATTGATTAAAAAATAATTCATCGCATTTCGTTTTTTTATAATTATCTGTTTTAGAAATTGACAACACAGCAGCCATTCAACGACATAAAAGCTCAAATTCAGCACTGTTAGTGACAGAATTGTCAATTTTCCCATTGACATCGTTCCTTCTTATTGGACACAATGGATTTCGGTGGGTTTTTTTATAAGTACAACTTTATTTGGTTTTTACTAAATTGAGTAATTCAAATATTTTTGTTGTAACCTTTACCATATTAAACTTTGTTTTGATGTTAATAAAATATTAACGTACGTTTCACGGACTTACTAAAACTGTAAAGAAGTTCTTTGTAAACTAAAATAATTTTCCATAATCTTATTGTATACAAATCATGTATAAAAAAAATATATTATCCTTTTCAAGGTTTCGAATGGTAGGAACAAATTTATTGTATCCCAGCGCTTTACGTTTTTAGTCTAAAGTTATATTGGGATTTTTTTTTTATTTCATGTTGGCTGATAAACTTAAAAACTTGTATTATACATTCCTCCCATTTTGAATTTTACCGCATTATTTAAACGTTTTATTTTGTCATTAATTTATTCTATTTTTTTCAAAATAATTTATCCAATGTAACTGGTTTTGTTGGCGAAAATCCCAATAATTATACTTAAAATAAGTAATTATATATTTTATTTTTATTAATTTATTGTACATAGTTGTTTATGATTTGAACTTTTTAACGAACATTTTCGTATATTATTTTATTATCTCTTAAATGAATTACTTATTGAGTTAACAGCGGTATGTAATAGTAATAAACATGTAGTATATCGATTTATCAAGTGTTTAGATCTATTATTAATCAACACCCAAATTCACAAATAGTTTCATTAAATTATTTATATTATCTATCATTGATAAAATGATTAATATTTAAAATGTATTTGTTTAAAATATTATGCCAACTTTGTAAATTTACTTTTGTTAATTTAAGTCAATGGGTGGTTAAGAATTTTTAAATTTTAAATTACCGTGATAACTTTGTTATATAATATATTGTTTCGTTAATTTTATCAATAATTATTTATTATTTGTGTTAAATGTTCATAAAAATTGAATTGAAATATAATTGAATATTATATTATGTTTAAATAAGCATCGGTACACCTATGTGAAAAAATTTAATCATTTTCTTGCGTAAAAAATCATGTAATATACCTACATAATATTAAATTACAATAATATGACATACCAATAATGTTTACCCGTTGGTGATTATTATTAAGTTATACAACTGTATGATATTTATTATTGATGAATGAAAATATAACATTAAAACATATATAAATATATAATATATCTGATTTGTTTTGTTTATATGATTTGTATTTTAGTCCTTGTACACCTATTGTGTATTATCACCAACACCAAAATATTCCGAACTAAAACAAAAAGTAGTGATAATGAATAGTAGATATTTCAAAATAATCAGCAATTATTGTGCATATTATATGAAAATACTAAATAATAATGAATTTTTTTATAGAGTAGGTATTTATAAGCTGTAGCCTGCACACGTATAATAATATTATTTTATTTTATTACTTTTAATTATATATTATATACAGTGGCGCCCAGATAGGTTAGCAAGGGGTGCAACTGCNGGTAAACAATTAGTAACAGTTCAAAAGAACGTTTTTTTAAATAAAAAATGGGTGGGTGGGTGGGTCACTTTTGTTAGTTGCATGTGCTCTCAAAATACTTCTGTGCGCCACTGAATCCAACTATATTTATTTTATTTGTCTACGTTGGATTATTTCAAAAATCGATGAACCAATTCGGATGGAACTATCGTACTGTCAGTCTTATATATATATATATATGAACAGAGTATAAAAGAAAGATCTGACAAAAAAAATATAAATCTATACAATTTAAACGTATGACAAAAGTTGTGGAAATTATATGGGTAATAAACTCATGAGACTCGTGGGAAATATACTCATGTTAAAAATAATATTTTAGAAAAAGTTTTACGTTTAAAATTATTTTACTAAAAAAAATATTGATATTTATGAAAATTCAAAAAATAAACTACTTGATTTGGATAAATGTTTTTACCGTCAAAATTATTCTAATAATCAAATTTAAAAATTGACTTTTTTAAAATTTCCAAAAAAAATCTTAAATTGTTATTTACACTTTCAAGAAATAAAAAGGAAAAAAATGTACAGCTATAAACACAAGCAATATAAATTATATAAAACAATTTTTATTTATTGATTAATACAAAAATTATTGCATTAAGCAGTGACTTTTTTTACATTCAGTAATCTGTGTACATACAAGTATGTATTTTAATAACGTATCAAGAGAGTTTCGAGTAAGAATTTAATTGCAAACTGAACCAAACAAGTCAAATATAATTTAAATTTAGTTAAACAACTAACAAGTGAATAAATTAATAAATTAATAAAATAAGATAATTATTATTAGAAAATGTGGTTGCGAACTAAAAAAAAACAATTGTGGACGTCAAAGTTTTGACTTTTAGCGATGTCAGTCTTTTCCGATTTCGACTTTTTCTAGTATCGACCATTTTTTATTTACACCAAATGAATGGCGTTTAGAAAAAACACTTTTTATTCTATCTGTTAAACCAATTTAATTTATACTCTATATTTATTGTCCTTCGATAACACTAATTAACCTATGAGAATTATACACATATACATACTCCATAACCATATTTTTGATTTTAATCTTAAAAATGTTCATTTATAGTCACATACGCTATTTAAAGAATAATATTTTAGTTTAATA